TTTCTGTGCCTCGCAACATTACTTTTTAATGTATCCCATGAATGAAATTTCTATTAAATTATGACATACCATGGATTGTTTAATACATGCCAATTTCAAGGATTTTAAAAGGTAAAAAAAAAGTTTGTCTTAGAATCGATGAATATAATAATTACTTTGTTAGCATAAAAGTAATGTATATTTGTTAAAAATCTGAAAAATATTGAGTATTAGCTGAAACATGGTTGCAGGTAACAGAAAAGCTTGATTATATAATAAAAATGCATATACCTGAAAATCCAGAGGAAGGACAGAGGTTAGAGTTGATTTAATTCAGGAACTAATGGCTATCACAACAGCAGTTTCTTTTCGTCTCCCTGCTATGTCTCCCATAGTGTCAGCCTTCTTGAGACAAGCTTCTTTCATGGTATCTGTTCCAGGTTTCCCATCTGCACCCCCTAGACTACAATGGAGACAGAAGTTCTATCCTAGCATTCTAAGCAAAAAATCTTTTTTTTTTTTTTTTTTAAATGAAGTCACGCTCTGGTCCCTTGGCTGGAGTGCAATGGTGCAATCTTGGCTCACTGCAACCTCCGCCTCCCCAGTTCAAGTGATTCTCCTGCCTCAGCCTTCTGAGTAGCTGGGATTACAGGCACCTGCCACCAGACCAGCTAATTTTTATATTTTTAGTAGAGACAGAGTCTCGAACACCTGACCTCAGGTGATTCACCCGCCTTGGCCTCCCAAAGTGTTGGGATTACAGGCGTGAGCCACTGTGCCCGGCCTCTAAGTAAAAATTCTAATATTCATCTGCTAAGGTCATCTAAGTCATCTCAGTTCACCTGATTTGTAACCATTGCTAGGAAAGTGAAAATGTACATGCAATGTATATGAACTGAACAGGAAAAACTGAAAAATGTTCTTATTACTAAAAAAAAAAGAAAGAATGTAAAAATCAATGCTTGAAAAGTGTGATGGTTAATTTTACTAGTTCACTCGGCTAGGCAGTGGTGCCCAGTTGTTTCGCTTCGGCACCACAGGCCAAACACGCACACACACACAAGTGTATATACAAAGAGAGAGATTGAATGATTTTTGACACACAAAAGCCAATAAAAATGTCCATTAAAACTTTGGGAGGCCGAGGCGGGTGGATCACCTGAGGTCGGAAGTTCGAGACCAGCCTGGCCAACATGGCAAAACCCCATCTCTACAAAAACACAGAAATTAGCTGGGCATGAGGGTGCGTGTCTGTAGTCCCAGGTACTCAGGAGGCTGAGGCAGGAGAATCGCTTGAACCCAGAAGGTGGGGGTTTCAGTGAGCTGAGATCGTGAGATCGCGACACTACACTCCAGCCTGGGAGACAGAGTGAGATTCTGTTAAAAAAAAAAAAAAAAAAAAAAGAAATCCCCTATAATCAGAAATATCACCATTTTAAAATGTTTTCTTCAACTTTATCTATTTACTTACTTTTCTATGCATGAAAACATATGGGAACTTACTTTACTCAAATGACATCGTACTGCATATATCAGATTCAAAACCTTGGAATCTTGTTTTTGTCCCGTAATATATTAAAGTGATCATTTTTCCATGCCCCTAAATATCTTTAACCTAAATACCTAAATATATTTAACTGCTGATTTTTTTCAGCAGTTACCAAATAATCTATCACATAACTGAACTATAATCTGTTTAACTAGTTGACTATTTCCGGGCTTTTTGATGATTTCTTTTTCTTCTTTAAATACACAGTGCTCTCTCCTGATTTGAAAAAGCCAGTTAGACACTGTTTCTGGAATCTGAGGTCTCTAGAGGTCAGGATCAAAAGCGTTGCGCTTGGTTCCAGTTCACGCAAGCTAGAGCTCATTATGAATAAAAGAGCATGTTGCTAACCTGGCCTTTAGCCAGAGTCTGACCTGGCATGAAAACATATCGCTGTTCTGGAGATAATCACAAAGATCTGCAACCATCATAAAGGTTTCTGTGGCAGTGGTGTGGACTCCTGATCCCTGCTTCTATGTCATCATTGCTATTATAAACATGCATTTGTATTAAACTAACATAGTAATGTTTGTGACTTGTCTAAAATGTGTTTAATCTTATAAGATTCTTGTAAGAAAGAAAATCGACAAATAAAGGAGAGGAGGAGTATGAATATACCTGTTTGGTATCTCAGTAAGAATATATTTTGTGTTCTATATTTATTCACACTCCCAGTTATGAGACAAAACTCAATGTGTGCTTGTGAGTGATGAAGAGAATGGATGTTCTTGGAGAACAAAGAAACACATGGTAGCATGTGAGTGTTTCTCCAAAGCACAGTTGACTTGGGAGTTTCAGGGCCCATCTCTCCCATCACTGTAGATTTGTTTCTCTATCCATTATCCTCATTTGCAGAAGTCCTGATCCATATCCCCAGAGCCAACATACAGCTCACAGCAGCTAGATTTCCCTGAGACAATTAAGTGGCTTTTTTCCCAATTGCTCTTCCCAGAATTTAGATGAGAGAAAAACATTTTGTGAAATGTTAATACTCTAATGGCAAGAATTAATTTGTGGATGTGGTTAAATGCTATCTTAGCAATGCCTTGAAATGTAGCATATGATTAGCACTTCACTGGTACAGATAGTCATTGTCTTTAAGAAATTCATTTTAAGGTCTCTTGTTCTATTATTGTTATATACTATATTTTATGCCTTCCTTTTAAATTTCATTTGCCATATTCTAAAGATAACTATTTCTTACGAATGCTGCATTTTATTTTTCAGACTAATCTTAACTTTCCTACCTCTTGTTTGGAGACTCATATAAGACGTTTGTTGTCTTCAGGATGTCTGTTAGTTAAAAGAAGATAAAAAGGACATTTTCTCCTACATGCTGAATGACTGAAACTTGTATATGTGAAAGTTACTATCTTACAATAAATTTATATTACATTGTGTTTTTAAAAAATGGAGTCACTCCAGCCTAGCCAATATGGTGAAACCCCGTGTCTACTAAAAATACAAAAATTAGCTAGGCGTGGTGGCGTGTGCCTGTACTCCCAGCTACTCAGGAGGCTGAGGCAGGAGAATCGCTTGAACCCAGGAGGCGGGGCTGCAGTGAGCCGAGATTGTGCCACTGCACTCTGGCCTGGGCGACAGAGTGAGACTCCGTCTCAAAAAAAAAAAAAAAAAATTGGAGTCACTAAATTACAGAGAAAAAATACAATGTGGTAAAGAAGATTTGGATTAAAATGACAGGAAAAAATTCAAATCAGGATATATTTATGAATCTATTCTGTTCTTTTATTTATGTATTCATTTGTTCATTCAAAAGTATTTATTTATCATCTGTCATATCTCAGACACTGTTCTATGCCCTGCAGACAGACCAGTAAACTAAAAGACAAGAATTCTTGTCCTCTTGGGCCCCATATTCTAGTGGAGACAGAGACATTCCTACACTAAAATAAATTCCAATTTTATAAGGAAATCACAGCATAAGTGCTGGAAATATTAAATAATAAAATGCCACAAAGCATAAGAAAATTCAAAATTTAAATAAATATATTTTTGGCATAAAACCATATTTATGAGATAAATATTACAAATAAAATTGTATGAAGCCTGAAATTTTACTGGTAAATTATCCGCAAGTGCTTAATAAGTATAAGATAAGGGAAACACAAATACTTTTTCTTCTCTTACAAAGTTGACACTCTCACACTTTTGGCTACCAAAATGTTGGGGAGTGGGCTTCTCCACACACCAAGCAATGCTCCAACAGACACCAACTGGACCTCCTACAATTTAACTCAATTCTCACACTACCTACCTAGAAATAGCATCAGATCGCACAGGTTAAGGGCTCCCTTCGACAAAACTACCCCCAACTGGAAATGCCAATCACAAATGTAGGCCTCCACAATTTCTAAACAACCATCTATAAACTGGGAGTTCCCACAACCCCCTCCTTGAGTTTGATTAATTTGGTAGAATGGTTCATAGAACTCAAGGAAACAGATTACTTCCATTTACCAGTTTATTACAAAGTATATTAGAAAGGATACAGATGGACAGCAAGATGGAAGTGATGCATAGGGCAAGATACGTGGGAGGGGCGCAGAGCTCCCATGCCCTCTCTGAATGAGCCATCCTCCCAGTACCTCCACGTGTCCAGCAGCCCGGAGTTCTCTGAACTATGCAGTTCAGGGATTTTTATGGGGGCTTCATCACATAGGCATGACCAGTTATTACCTCAATCTCCAGCCCCTCTCTCTTTCCTGGAGCGTGAGGGAAGAGCTGAAAGTTCCAAGCTTCTAATCATAGCTTGGTCTTTCTGGTGACTAGCCTCCATCTAGGAGCCCACAATAGAACAAGTTGCCTCATTAGAACAAAAAATGTTCCTACCTCCCAGGAAACTCCAAGGGATTAGGACCTCTGTGTCAGGAGCCAGGGCCAAAGACCAAATATCAGCACAAAAGATGCGCCTAGCACCACTATCGCTCAGGAAATTAAAAGGGTTTGAGGAATTCTGTGCCAGGAACCAAGGCACAGACCACATATATATTTCTTATTATATCACAATATGACAGTAAGAAATGTGTAGAAATGGCATGGCTTGAAAGGCATTGTCGTAACTCAGCAAGAACATGCTTTGACAGGTTGTTCAATAACAATACGGGGAGGATGGAGTTAAAGAGGAATCGTGCTCTGGTTTTACAATGCTCATGGTTCCCTAAGAAGGAAAGGTAGAGTTAGGCGCAGTGGCTCACGCCTGTAATCCCAGCACTTTTGGAGGCCAAGGCAGGTGGATCACTTGAGGTCAGGAGTTCGAAACCAGCCTGGCCAACATAGGGAAACCGCATCTCTACTAAAAATAGAAAAATTAGCTGGGTGTGGTGGCGTGTGCCTGTAATCCCATCTACTTGGGAGGTTGAGGCAGAAGAATCATTTGAACCTGGGAGGTGGAGGTTGCAGTAAGTCAACATTGTGCCACTGTACTCCAGCCTGGGTGACAGAGTGAGACTCTGTCTCAAGAAAAAAGAAGGAAAGGCAGGATCAGAAAAATCATTATTTCTGTAGCACAATGAAAGAAAATAAATGACCCGTTTGCACAAGGTTTTAGGTGACGCAAGAAAGACAGATTATCTTACAATATACTGCAGTCTAGAGAACCCTTGAGGAATAACAAAATAGTAAACATGCAAAACCAGAAAAGAATGATATACTTTTAAAGAGGTCATTAGAGTGTAAAACTAGCCTAAATATCCACTTAAAATTCTAACATTGTTTGGTAATGATGTAATGCCATTACCATTATACAATGCAGTAGTTGATTCTTAATCATTTTCTCATTTTCATTATAAATAATTATAAATGTTAAGCTGTTACATTAATTTGTCTTTAAAGGAAGGGCTATTTTTTAAGGTCAGCTGTTGTAGAAAGGGCTACAGATTGAGAAATTAAGGCTACTGCAAAATCCGTATCTTTAAGCTCTTCTGAGCTTAAGATTTTTATTTAAACCACCCATTAGACATCTTTCCAGAATCCCTTAAGGACCTCTGACTTGACATGTCCTAAAGTGAACTCAGTATCATGCTTGATATCCCATTTCATTGTCTCTACTAACAGTTCTATCTACTTAGACTGGCTAGCTACAAACCTGGGAATAACCTCTCTCTCTCTCTCTCTCTCTCTCACACACACACACACACACACACATACACACACACTCCTACTGAAGATCACATGTTTGGTGATCTCTCCTCTCTATCATCATTATCACTGTTTTAGGCCAGGTCCTCATCAGTTTTCATCTGGATCATGATACTTGCCCTCTGGCTGATCTTCTGGACTCTAGTCTCTCATCATTTGTTTCATCCTGTGGCTGAAGTCATCCTCCTAAAAACAAACCAGATCACAGACACCACTTCTCTAATACCTTTTTAGTGCCCATGCACTCCTATAAGTAAAATATTTATCTCAAATATACACATCCATTTGTAAATAGCATATATTATACAAGTACTGCATTAATGTATCATACACATAAGAAAACATAAAAATTGAAAAATTAAAGGATGAGATGCAGATGAAATAACCTCTACTTTATATGCCATTTATTTATTATTATTATTATTTTAAAATAATGCCGTGCTCTGTTGTCCAGACTGGAGTGCAGTGGTGTGATCATAGCTCACTGCAGCTTCTAACTTCTGGGCTCAGGCAATCGTCCTGTCTCAGCCTCCCTAATAGCTGGGCCGACAGGTGCATGCCACCATACCTAGCTAATTAATTTACTCCATTTATCACTGGTATATAAAAATATTTTGCCATTACTAAAATGTTGTTTAGTGAGAGTAATATGGTTGAATATTCTTCACATTTGTTGGAAATTTTTATTGTTATAAGGCAACTTACAAATATATTTAGTTTTTCTGGCTATCAGAGCTGCAGAATACACCTCACATAGAACCACATATACAAAGAGAGGAAGCATTCATTGGATGAGCTTATGAAAGTATGATCCTCATTTTTCAAAGACCATCCGCCAGTTTTTGCAAGGACTTTTGTTAAAATTTATTAACATTTGAAATATTCATGTTATTTCAATCTTTTTAAGTCATTTGTCCATTCTGTGAGGCTTAGGCCAACCCAGATAATATAATACATAAATCCACTTCACCAAGTACACATAAATTGCTGATAAATGGTAATTTGCTTTAAGAATGAACAAGGTTCTTAAGGACACCTCTCAGTGCTATGGATCTCAACCTTCCCTCAGTATTCTTTGCACGTAGCAGTCCCTCTGTCGGTCTGATACACGGACCAAATGAAAGTACCAATGTCAATCCACATTGCTTATTAGTAAAGCATAAATCCTTTCTCACATTTTTTGATAGATAGCCAAGTTTTAATACTTTCTTCCCACACCCCAGTATATCACTCACTAAGCCCTTGAGTGGTTCTCACCCCACTTTGGAGACCACTGGCCATTGTATTACATTCAAATATCTCAGCGGACATACAAGGACTTTCCCAGTCACCCCAAGCAATCTCTCCAATTCCTCAAAGCCTACTCATCAGCCACATTGAACATTTCATCATCCTCGAATCTGGTTATAGCTTTGTCTTTCACATTTTCTGTCTGGAATACTCTTACCCACACACGCCTTAACCAAAACCATCTTCACCTAGTACACTCTGCGTCATCCTTCGAGACATGCACAAATTAGTGCACTTTGATGTTCTTTCTGCCTGCCCAGTGTTCTGGGCACTCTGTTCATACCTTTTAATGCCCCTTGAACCACACTATGGACACATCTGTCTTTCCCTATGTGGGAAGCCCCTTGGAGCCAAAGACCATTTGGGTAGTCACAGAGCCTAACACAGAGACTTCCTAATAGAAAGCACCACAAAAAATGTCTTCTGGATATTACAACTTAGAAAGATTGAAGCAATTTTAAATACAAAAAGCCAAAGAACAGCAAATATTTGTTGAAGAATTGAAGACCAAGAGAAAAAAGCTTCTGAGGAGAGTCAAGGAATCAATTCCCTGTTATTCTTACCCTGGCTGACCAATTCATAGATGGGATATAAGGGAGCTGCAAAGAAGATGCAACTGGCAAGGTTAGGTTTAATTAATCAAGAATAGCTTTTGATTCAAGAAAAACTGGCTACATCGTCTTCCAGAAGATCCCATGATGACATGATGGTGACTCCAGTGACCCCTAGAAAGCATTTGGGCATTGTACTCCATAGAGCTGCAACAGAAAACTAGAAATTCCATCTCTCAGCCTCAGAGACTGAGGGGGACTGAGAAGACAGCTTTACCGTCTAAGAGATAATTACTAATTAATAAATTAATTAAACACATTGCCTTCAAAATGTATAGAACTGATTACCTTCAGCTACACCTGCTCCAAGCAGCATATTAAAAAAAAATTCAACTTATTTCTTTGCATGTGAGTTTGTTTTCAGTGTGACATAAAATCATAAACATTTCTATCACATAGTGGCTTTGCATAAGCAAAGGTAACAATTTTTCTCCTTTTGATGTACATTAAACATAGCTTATAATATACACCCAAATATATATAATATAATAATTTTGTTTTTCCATTCTATGTTATCTTATGCAGGCAGCAGTTTTTGCCAGAGGTCATAGTTAGAAATTAGGACATGGATGAGTCATTTAAGCTTTCTCCCGAACTTCACTTATAAAATGATGACACTTTTTAGCTAACTCACAAATACTCCTAAGAGCCCACAGAGTTCTTTGAAGGTGGTATGATTTTTTATTGCAACACTTACTCCATGAATAAACGCTAGAGTCATCATAAAGCACTGATCCCTGCAAGCTGTCATTTCATGCCACCTTTGCTACTCATCTTAATAAACACTATCATATCTTGGTAATGAACACTTCCATCTCAGTTTCACAGGGTATTGCCGATATATTTATAAGTAGTTCACTGTAGCATATTTCTTGATTTATATTTAAAGCAACTTACAACTTAGCAAGGACTCAGAGGCAAAAATTAATTATATAAAATTAAAATAATTTTAGTAAACACCTTAAAACATTAATTGATAAACTCTGCCTCTCCTTAGTCCCTTGTGCTAGATATCTTTGGAAATGTGTGATTGAAACTCTCAGAATATCAGCTTTGGATAGATGCTCATATTATATAAAAATATTTAATTGGTAGCAGTCTTATAAAGAAGTAAATGTTTTAAAAGGAGAGTAGATGTCACTGATGGATGTGGGCAAAGACAAATAAAATTGTTGAGATCAAGAACATTATTCAGTGCCCAGAAACACATTACAATATCTTATATCTGCATAGCACTTTAGAGTTTACAGCATCCATCAGTCCTTTATCTCTTTTAAGCACATGAAGCGCAGGGAGATGCAGGAAGGAAGTTTAGTTGACATAATCTCTGCCCTTTGGAGAAAGAAACCCAAAACTTATTGAAAGCCATGACTTTATTTTTCTCACATTGATATCCATGTTTTTTCCCTTTATTTATGAACTGAATTTTATTCACAAAGCTTTATTTCAACATTCCCATGAACATGACAAGAAAATTATTTGGCAACGCATAATCAGATAATCATGGGAAAAACATAGGACAATTTGACACCACTAAAATATTTCATTCTTTATACACATACCTTCACTCCTCAAGGAGCGAATGACCAACAATGCCATCAAAATTAGCAAATTTATTTGTGTTAATGTAACCTTACTTACCTAACAGTTGGTATGTGCCGTAGGGTATCATCAAGATAGATGATCTTTGCCGAACGCTGTGTCACAGAAGAGTTTGGATGATAAAACTCCACTCTTGCCTGGAGTAGACTAACCTTGGCTAAATCATAAGATAACCCTGACAGGCAGAGAGAGAGAATTTGTCACCTTTAAGTGTTTTTCTACATGATATTTTATAATGATAACAACAACATTCATGTTTCCCAAAGACTTTACAAGTAACTGAGTACCTACCTTGAACTGGTAACCTATTGCTTATCCCCTGCTATAGCTAGACTATTTCAGTCTAACTTTATCCCCAACCCTCCTAGGTGAAATGGATCCCTGTGGCAGCCATTACTCACAATCACCAAGATTCCTAGAAAGTAGGAATCTTGGTGATTCCTAGAAACGTAAACATAGCCCTTAAAGTTAGGTAATGACCATGTAACTTTCCTTTACCAGAGAAATGTGAGAAGTGACCTGTATCACTTCTGGGTGAAAGCACTTGAGGTTTGGTGCGTAGTCCTCTGCATCCTCTCTGCCATGGTGCTCAGGGAAATTCACAGGAATGCAGCAGGCTAGAACAATGAGTCACTGTGATAGCAGCACTGGAAATTTTGCATGAGGAGGAAATTTACTTTTGTTGTATTAAGCCACTGAGATTTTGATGGCATTTGTTACAGCAATATAATTTAGCCTACCCTAACTGATACAATCTCTCACTAGCTCGGTCACCATTTATGTAGCATCCCACAACTGCATATGTGACTGTTACACCAGTAGGTGGTATATACATATACATGAGTTGACATCAGTCACTGTTGAGAGCAATATCTCAAAGAAATACCTGGGAACAGCAGGAAGGTAGTTGGGATAAATCACACTGGGTTCCACACCCTTGCCATGTCCCTGGATTAGCACTGAGGGCTCTCCAATGTAAATAATCATCTTGATTTATCATCAAGGAGGTATCAGTTTTATGGGAGGAGAAAGGGGTTTAATTTAGAACACACTAAAATCTAGTGGGCAGCCACATTGACCAATGGAATAGAATAGAGAACATAGAAATAAAGCAACAGATTTAGAGCCAACTGATCTTTGACAAAGCTGACAAGAACTTGCACTGGGAAAGGACATCCTCTTAAATTAATGGTGCTGAGAAAATGGAACAGCCACATTCAGAAGAGTGAAACTGGACCCCCTATCTCTCAACATATACAAAAATCAACTAAAAATGGATTTAAAAACTTAAAGGTAAGACCCCAGACTACAAAAATACTAGAAGAAAATTAGGAAAAACTCTCCTGGACATTGGTCTAGGTAAAGAATTTATAACTAAGATCTCAATAACACAGACAACAAAAACAAAAATAGACAAATGCAATTTAATTAAGCTAAAAAAAATTCTGCACAGCAAAAGAAATAACAGAATGAAAGACAACCTGTTGAATGAGAGAAAATATTTGCCAAATATTCATTTTACAGGGGACTAATATCTAGAATACATAAGGAACTCAAACAACTCAACCGGAAAAAAAAAAAGTAAACCCATTAAAAAGTGGGCAAAGGACATGAGTAGACCTTTTTCAAAATAAGACTACAAATAGCCAACAGGTTTAAGGGAAAAAATGTACAACATTATTAATAATCAAAGAAACTCAAATCAAAACCACAATGAGATATCATCTATCATATCCCAGTCAGAATGGCTATTATTAAAGAGACAAAAAAATAGCAAATGCTGGCTGGGATGTGCAGAAGAGAACTCTTTAATACACTGTTAGTGGGAATATAAAGTTGTATAGCCACTATATAAAACAGCATGGCAATTTCTCAAGAAAACTATAAATAGAATTACCATTTGATCCAGCAATCCTACTATTGGGCATCTACCCAAAGGAAAATAAATCAATATATCAAAGAGATACCTGAACTGCCATGTTTATTGCAGCACTATTCACAACTTCAAAGATACGGAATCAACATAAGTATCTATCAACAGATGAAAAGATAAAGAAAATGTAGTGTATATACAGAATGAAATATGATTCATCCATTAAAAATAATGAAATTGTGTTATTTGCAGCAACATGGATGAAACTGGAGATTATCATAAGTGAAATAAGCCAAGCACAAAATGATGTAGTATGTTCTCACATATTGTGGAAACTAAGAAATCTGAACAGATGGAATTAGAGAGTGGAAATACAGACAAAGAAACTGAGTAAGGTGAGTGGAGTGAGGGGGAGGAGGATGAAGAGAAGTGAGTTAAAGTGTACAAAAATATAGTAAGATAAAAAGAGGTAATTTAATGTGTGATAGAGAATAAGATGACTATACTTACAAATATATATATACATACATATTATACTCAGGTGATAGAGTAAATACCCTGACTTGATCACTATGCATTATATACATGTGAAAATCTTTCGGGTACCCCATACATTTACACAAATAAAAATAGAGTTCAAGTGGAAAAATAAATAAATTTTTAAAAGCCCAAGAAATGGAAATTCCTAACAGGTAAGGGAAAGGCAGAAATAAGGCTTGCAAATGGGTTAAGAATGTGGATACAGATTCAGAAGTAATCCACACACACTTGAAAGATGAACTGAAGACACATAAAATTTCTAAGGAAAATGGCAGAGTGGGAAAAAAGACAAGAAATGAGGCTGAGGAAACACTATTGGAGGACAGAGAGAGGAGAAGCAGCAAGGAAGGAAGATACGAGAACTATGACGACAACAGCCATTCATTTTCGGAGCTAAGAATACCAAATCTTCATTAATAAATTCATTTAAATTTAAATTTCAAGGTTTTTAATGAAGATAAAAAATGTACTCAACCTTAACCATCCATGTACTGTCTCAGATATTAAAATAGATTACCCATGTGACAGGCAGCTGGACATCATCTGTAATAGAAAGCAAAATGATTTTTAATTCAGTGTCTCAGAACTAATTTATCATGATTTAAAGGAGAAGCAGAACTTTTTGAACACATATTATCTGTTCCACATTATAGTCATTTATTTATTCGTCAAACATATCCTACACATCCGGCACATACCAGGCACTGCAGGGCACAGTCCCTGTTCTTGGGCTGGCTACCTCACTCTCGTGCCCATTTCACACATTGCTTCCCCTGCAGCCATGCTGCACCTGGTGCCAGCTTTCCCCCTGCAAGGATGACCTCCACAGTGAATTAGCTAGCATTTTCTGAACCCTAGCTATGTGTGCCAGGTACTACGCTAAGTGCCTTATATGGACTTTCTCACTTAATCTTCAAGACAACCCTATGAGGTGGAAATTAGTATCATCCCTATTTTACAGCATGGGAGGCTTAAATGTTGAGAAACTTGCCTAAGGTCATACAGCTTGCAGATGGTGTAGTCAAGACTCAAAATAGACTGGCTAATGCCAAAGCGGCGATCAACACCTCTCTACTGAAAACGTGGTCCTCAAACTAGCAGCAATGCCATTACCTGGGAGTTTGCTAGAAATGCAGAATCTCAGGCCCAACTCCAGACACGCTCAAATTTGGCTTCAACAATATCCCCAGGTGATCCCTCTTAAAATTTGAGAAGCACCGTGCTAAATCACTCCACTACGAAGACTTGGCTTTAATGAACGCTGGGGGAGATACAGACAATCTTTCCCCCTGAGTAGCAATTTGTAGGGCGCGGGAGGAAAGGTATATAATGTGTTTTCCAAGAGCTAATAGGATTCAGACAAATCCTTGCTGTTTCAAACACTAGAGATCACTGCGACCAGCGCGGGTCGGGACCACTTCCAAAAGCGGCAGATCTTGAGCTGGATCTTGAAGCCAGAACATGTTCTCATTTCATTAAAAATAGCTGCTGTTCCAAATGGACAAGCAGTAAACTTCTGGAGTTCGCTTCTCCAGCCTGCACTCCACTTTCCAAATAGAACCCAAATATCAACAGCATCAACAAGCAGATTTTAAACCCCAATAAAACATGCTATTATTAAATTGTTGTATTAGAATTGCCTAGTTTAATTAGTAATATTCATGACAAAACTAGTTTGCCCCTTATTATCAATCTTGCTCCAGGTAGAAGTACAAACACTTGGTGTAAAAAGCAGATGCTCCCCGGTTGGTGTGCAAGCCCCCGTTTGCAGGTACTTAATTCAGGGTGTGGCAGCGCCTTTTCAAGCCCCCTCTGCAAGCCGCGCCTCCTCCCTCTCGAGGCCTCCTCCCTCTCGAGTGGGGTCAAACTACTAAGTTTGTTTCACCCGCTGGCACTTTCTTCCCTGTCACGAATTCATCCTGTCTTCCTTTGGCCTGAGACAGCGTCTTCAGGCGGGTCGGCTCGGACCTGCCCAGCGGGGCGCCCACCTGCACCCGCACCCGCACCCGCACCCGCACCCGCACCCGCGGGAAGGGGCGGCGCTGGCCGGGCTCTCTCGGGTGGACTCGCGGAGCGGCGGCGGCGGTGGCAGACTGCGAGTCACGTGCGACAGAGGGGGCGGAGCGCTGCCGGCCGGGTGGGTGGAGAAAACAAAGCCCCCAGCTGTCAGCAGAGGAAGGAGGCGACAGCGCTGGAGCAGGTGAGTCAAGTGCATTTAAAGCGGTACCGCCCTGGCTCACCCCGACACCCCCTGCCCTGGAGCAGTCCCTCCCAGGCCAGGGGCTGCCCGCCCCTCCTCCTGCCGCTGAGTTCTGCAGCCCACGGGGCTCCGAGCAAGCGGAACAGGGGGTCCAGAGTCCAGCAAGAAGTTGTGCAGGGGTCGGCTAGGCGGTCTCGGTGTGCACCCCGCCGCGCTGCCGCGTGTAGCATCTCTGGTTCGGGGCCCCAGCTTTGTGCACCCCAGAAAAGGGGAGGGAGGGAGTTGGGGCTGCCACGCTGGCAGAAGCGAAGTGGACTGGTTCTAAGGGGTGAGGCTGGGGCTGTCCAGGGTAGGAAGACGGCGTTGGTGAAGGAGGGGGGCTCGTGATTGCGCGACCGCGGCGCAAGATCCTCCAGGCTCTAGCTGGGGAGCCGGGACTGAGAGAGCTAGGGGCGCTGGCAGGAACTGCGCGCTTGGGGGCAGATCAGGAAGTGTAGCGCGCTAGCGTTCGCCCGCCTGGGAGCATCCCCCGGACCCCAGGCACTTCCCCTTCGGCAGCCACTACTCTCCCACTCCGACACCGGCCACCATCCGCGCTCCCGGGACTCAGGAGCAGGGTGGGCGCAAAAGGAAGCGGGTTGTTATTCTGCGCTCAAGCGGCTCTTCTGCAGGGAGCACGGGAGCGCAGGGCGAGGGCTACTCAGCGACTTCGCACTCCGCTCAGTGGGAAATTCTTCGGTCTACACTTAGAAGGGCTATGCCGAAGCCAGAAATCCCACAAAGAGCCGGGAGAGGGGTGGACGCTGAAAGCCGTCCCCTCTGAACCTGGGGTGCTCGATAAAGCTGACTTTCAGACCCCAAAAGGGCTAGTGGGTTTGGTCACTCCTCCAGTGACTTCGTCAATCCAGTGCCGAGGGCAGAGCCGTAACCTCGGAGAAGGGGCGCTGCAGCCATTTGATCAGGAGAAGCCTTTGTCTTAACCCCCAGGCCCCTCCTGCTAGTCCTCGCAGGGTCAGTAGCGCGGGGAGTAATTAATATTCCGAACGTTAGCCGTTCCTTCACCTTCGCACCAGCCAACACTGCTGTCCCCTCCCTGAGTGTCTTCTCTATCGCTTGCTCACATCTCCTTTTCCAAAAAAAAAAAAAAAAGAACAAAAGGAAAATAGTGCAGACCCGCTAGGCAGGAAGAGGTCACTAAAAACACTATCGTGCTGTCAATGTAGAATCAAGGGTTAAGCGCTCGAACCCGCGCCAGCGCGCACCGAAACGGAAGAACTTCCTTGATTAGCATAGTATCGACCTTGGGGCCGCGCTGCGAGGCGGAGGTTCGGTCCCAGCTGGGGTGAAGTGTGCAGACCGGTCGCGATTGTGGTCAGACGCAGCACCTACTTCTAATCTGAGGACCCGCAATTTACACCTTTGCTGAACAGGACACTGTGGAATGAAACAGAACAGAGATCAAAAGGTAATCTGAAGAATGGCAACATTTCCCCTGCTTCTCTTGAACGCTAAATTTGGCCAAATTTTTATCAAGCAAAAGGGGTATGGTTCTTGGTTAGCCTGTGTCCCCTCTGGAAATGAAATGCTTCCTTACTTTGCTTTCGTTCTTTTCTGCCAAACTGATTAAAGACATCAGTTAGGGGTAAGATAAGAGGTCTGGGAGTTCACCAAGTGATTGGTAGATAAGCTTAACTGGTAAATTTTTCTTGTGTGGGTCTCTATCAAAGCACTGGTTCTAAAATTTTGCTGCATATGGAATCACCTGGGGAGCTTTGAGAACTCCTGATGTCCTGATCACATCCCAAACTATTTAAATCAGGTTGTTTGGGAGTGAGAAATAGGCATAGTATTTAAAAGCAAAAACAAACAACTCCAGGTGACTTCATTGTGCAGCCAAGTTGGGAAAACTCTATAGCAAAGGAAGAGTTCAGTGGCCAGCAGCAAGCAGCAGGCATTGCAAGACAAGATGCCACTTTAACTACTTGGGTGGGTGAGAGAAAAGAGGCTGAAACTGGAGTGCCGATGACTAACACCCTGGGGTGGGGAGCTGTGATCTAGCAGCCTAGCTGGTGGTGACACCTACCACATCATTTTTCCCTTGCCTGGCTAGGGTCTGATTGGAAAGATCGAAGCTTACTTCAATGCCTGGTTTCTGCACTGTTGTTAAGGGAGACGGATAGAAACTTCCATTCCTGTGATGACTCATGTGTAGCAGGCAGTAGGGAAACCCAGCAGAAACATACTCCAGCAGCCTGGTGAGTCAGCAGGCTGCACAGCGATCCCAGTGAATAGGAAGTAATTACAGCGAGTAGTTTGTTGACAGGCACAAACTCCACTCCTTTGAAAGCACATTTTAATATCTGATCAGGATCTACTAGCTTGCAGGAGCCACTCCCTTTAAGTACCCCATTCTGCCTGTTTCATATAATGCCCTCTTCTGTTAGAAGGGGAAACACAAAGCTAACTAGACATCCTGTAAATTCCTTGGTGGGAAGCATGTAAAAAAAAACCTGTTGGGAAAGTGTAAACTGGTTTGGGTTATTTCAGTTATGTGAAGTAGGATGAATATGTAACACATAACTTTTGCATACAAAAAAGTCAAATATTACTTAATTATACATCCAGGAGTGGATTAAAGGATCTATTTAAATAGAAATGGTTAGACTTAACATTTTACATAAAACCTCGTATTGGCTATTAACCAAAGGTTTCTTGCCTTTAAAAAGCAGTCATCCCAAAAGAATGACTCCAGGATAACCTGTTATTTCTGGTTCTTTGCATCTTTAAACAGGTTATCTTAGAGTCGTCAAAAAACAAACTTTCTTTTTCTTCTTTCAGTTTTAATACCAATAAATAAAAATAGTGAAGACACTATTTTTAATGTCACTGTCACCGTCTGTACTGTTGTCTAAATGCTTTCTTCCCCATCCTGAATTTCCTTTTCTTTTTTTTTTTTTTTGAGACGGAGTCTCACTCTGTTGCCCAGGCCGGCACAATTTTGGCTCACTGCAACCTCTGCCTCTGGGTTCAAGTGATTCTCCTGCCTCAGCCTCCTGAGTAGCTGGGATTACAGGCACACACCGTCATGCCCAGCTAATTTTTATATTTTTACAGAGATGGGGTTTTGCCATGTTGGCCAGGCTGGTCTTGAACTCCTGACCTGAGGTGATCCACCTGCCTTGGCCTTCCAAAGTTCTGGGATTACAGGAGTGAGCCACGGCACCGGCCCTCAATTTCTTTAAGGAGGAACAACGGTGTCTTGCACACAGCAAGCACTCAATATTGTTGGCCGTTGAACTTCATCTGAACCTCTCTTATAGCATCTATTGTAGCTTGCTTGGTATTTTATTATCTCGTGGGGGCCTTAATGTCTGTAGCCCCCAAAGCAGGCGCACAGACTTTGTGAGTTACTGATACTGCTTGTTCGTACTGAAGAGTATCAAAAGATGGGGAGCACACAAAACCAAAGCGTCCTGAGTACATTCAGTTTGTTGTTTTCCAAGACAGACATTCCGGGTATATAAAAGCCGAAGTCCTGTTAAAATTCTTTCTTGTTATGATAGCTCATTTGTTCACTTACATTTTATACCCAACAATTTAGCATTTTGAGCATAACTAATAATTATTATCACATTTAACCACACTCTGATGGGCCAAAGAATCACTTCACAAAATTTCACTCTACTTATTATTGTGAAAAACCACATATGAATTTAATGAGCTAGGAGAGCCATTATAGAATAGATTGACAGTTAAATAGCTTTTATTTTCACCTGTGTATTGCCCATTGAACTAGCATAAGTACATTTAAATCGCCAGCATATTAAAAGTAAGAAGTTGGATGTATTTTGTGATAAGTACAACCAAAACTATATGTTAATAAGAATTTCCAAAGGCCAAAATGATATAAATGCATTCATTCTCACTTCTGTGGAGCTTAGAAAAAGAACTGGAGAGGCACTTCTGAAATGTCAACACCTTTTTGGGAGGCATAAGAGATAAAGTAATTTAGAAAAACAGAACTAACTTTGGGAGGCCAAGGCGGGCGGATCACTTGAGGTCAGGAGTTCAAGACCAGCCTGGCCAAACATGGTGAAATCCCGTCTCTACTAAAAAATATGAAAATTAGCTAGGCATGGTGGCACACTCCTGTAGTCCCAGCTACTCGGGAGGCTGAGATGAGAGGATCACTTGAACCTGGGGAGGCAGCAGAAGTTACAGTGATCCAAGACTGTACCACCGCACTCCAGCCTGGGGGACAGAGGGAGAGGCCATCTAGAAAAAAAAAGAAGAAAAAAAAAAGACTAATCAGGTTACTTCATATTAGTGAGAAATTGTTTCTCAGAGTATGATATATACCTAGCTCTATAATATTTACAAGTAGGCTAAAAGGGGTAGAGTAGGAGAAAGTGTGTCATCTCAATTTTATAAACTCTAAAGTGTTTGAGAACAGACGAGAACCACCCAGTCTTATTACCTTAAATTTATACAGCCCTCTGGTCTTATTAACATATCAGAGCTTAAACATAATTGGGTAAATGGTATTCCCAGGTGCCAAATTACGCAAGTGAATCCAACAAGTTAGGTGATCCCGGCAATGCCAAGGCATTGACTCCTGGATTATTGACTCCTTTTCCAGTGTTTATTGCATCATATAGGTTTTGATGCCGTCTTGCCTTGAGGCTTTGGCTACACAAGACTGGTTTGAATTAACTCCTTCCTCAAAAAGTAGAAACTACTCTACTCACATACATCATTCTCTCAGCGACTTTATTCTTTCTTTCTTTCTTTTTTTTTTTTTTTTTTTTTTTTTTTTTTGAGACGGAGTCTTGCTCTGTCACCCAGCCTGGAGTGCAGTGGCGCGATCTCAGCTCACTGCAAGCTCCACCTCCCGGGTTCACTCCATTCTCCTGCCTCAGCTTCCCGAGTAGCTGGGACTACAAGCACCTGCCACCACACCTGGCTAATTTTTTGTATTTTTAGTAAAACGGGGTTTTACT